CACAGGCCAACGCTCTATAATGCAGCCGTGGGCAAACTACGGCCCGCGGGCCGGATCTGGCCCATTTGAAATGAATAAAACTATTGAAAAAAAAGACCGTACCCTTTTATGTAATGATGTTTACTTTGAATTTATATTAGTTCACACAAACACTCCACCCATGCTTTTGTTCCGGCCCTCCGGTCCAGTTTAAGAACCCATTGTGGCCCTCGAGTCAAAAAGTTTGCCCCCCCCTGCCCTAATGGGTAGTGTCCCACATCACCATCTCCTTAGTTCTGTCCTTTTGCCCCCATTGAGCCCTTCAAGCCCACCCTGCCCTCTACCCCAGGCCTTCACCATCCTATTGTTTGTGTCCATGGGTTATGCATATATACATATAAGCTCTTTGTTTGATCTCTTCCCACCCACTCCTGCCCTCGGAGATTTCACAGTCTGTTCCATGTTTCTATGTCTCTGGATCTATTTTCTTCAAGTTTATTTTATTCATTAGATTCCACATGCCAGATCATGTGATACTTGTCTTTCTCTGACTGGCTTATTTCACTTAGCATAATACTCTCCAGGTCCCTCCATGCTGTCTCAAAGGGTAAGAGAGTCTTCTTTTTTACTGCTGCATAGTATTCCATGGTGTAAATGTACCACAGCTTTTTTATCTACCCGTCTACTGATGGGCACGGGTTGTTTCCAGATCTTAGCTATTTTAAATTGCGCTGCTATGAACATAGGGGTGCATACATTCATTCTAATTGGTATTTCGGGTTTCTTAGGATATATTCCTAGAAGTGGGATCACTGGGTCACATGGCAGTTCCATATTTAATTTTTTGAGGACACTCCACTCTTTTCCGTAATGGCTTCACCAGTCTGTATTCGCACTAGTAGTGTACTAGGGTGCCCTTTTCTCCACATAATCGCCAGCACTGGTCCTTTTTTTTTTTGGTAGCCATTCTGATAGGTGTGAGGAGATACTTCATTGTCATTTTAATTTGCATCTCTCTGATGATCAGTGACTTTGAGCATTGTTTCATGTCTCTTGGCCATCTGCATGTCCACTTTGGAGAAGTGTCTATTTAGGTCCTTTGTACATTTTTTAACTGGATTGTCTTCCTTTTGTTAAGCTGTAGGAGTTCCTCATATATTTTGGAAACTAACCCTTTATCAGATGTATCATTGGCAAATATGTTCTCCCACACAGTGGGCTCCCTTTTCATTTTGTTGATGGTTTCTTTTGCTGTGCAACAGTTTTTTATTTTGATGTAGTCCCATTTGTTTTTCTCCTTCGTTTCTCAACCTTTTTTTAAGAGGATATACAAATGACCAATAAACATGAAATGAGTTCAAGCTCATTACTGATCAGGGAAATGCAAAATGAAGCCAATAACATACTATTAATAGCTAAAAATACATAAGTAAAAATAAAATAAACCCACTCACAATACCAAGCATTGGCAAGGACTAGAAAGACTAGAATTCTCATACATTTACAGTAGAGTATAGAAACAGTACTACTTTGGAGAACAATTGGGCAGTACATAACAAAGCTGAACATGTTCCATTTCAAAAATGCATGTGTGCACCAAAGACATGCATACAAACGTTTATATGGACTATTCGTAATTGCTCCAAACAGAAAACCCAATGGCCATCATTGGTAAGATGAATCCTGTATGGACTATCATATGATGGAGCAATAGAAGTGAAGGAACTCTTGCCACATCTACCATGGATCTGTCTCAGAAAGTTGAGGGTAAGTCAAGGGAAAGAAGCCATACACAAAAGGGTGTGCAATACACATGGAGTTCAAAAATAGGCAAACTAATTTATGTGATAAAAGTCAGAATGGCTTTTAGGGGCTAATAATTGAAAAATGGTCAGAGGGAGGACTTTGAGGTGAGACCGTGATTTCTTGATTTCGGGGGTGGTAATGAGAATGTGCACTTTCTAAAAACTTATTGAGCTTAAGGTTTATGGGCTTTTCTGCATATGTGTTATTCTATATAATAAAACCAATATGCAAATTGACTGAATGGCAGAACGACCAGTCGCTATGATGTGCACTGACTACCAGGGGGCACTCAACACAGGAGCTGCCCCCAGCACGCAGGCCCCTACCAGCGGTGGCGGCAGGGGGCGGGGCCGGTGAGCGGACTGTG